TTATATAGTCATAAACCAGTAACTGTAGTTACTGTTTTGTAAACTGATATAATCTACAAATCATGTCAACTAGAATTGAAGGATTGACTGTATAGTTTCTTTAGTCCCACCATGATCATAACTATTGTCCCAGTCAATGTTTCCTCTAAACTGCACGTGTGCAGTAGCCCAAGACTGCTGCGTAGCTCCCCAGGACTGCCATGCAGAAATATCAGCCCACAGAGAGAAGCACGAGATTGAACTTCACGCAACTTTCTAGAGCAGTAGTCACCGACTGGTCGATCTCCAAGGCATTCCTAGTCGATCGGCAAACATTTCTATAAAGAACACAACGATAAACATGTCATGTGTCTGAAGGTACAAACTCTGCCTTCCCAGCGGGCCCAGAGAGCAAATCAAGTGCACTAAAAGACTACCGCTGGCCAAAGGATGGCTCAGATGACCTTGTCTGCAGTAACGTAGCTGGCATAAAAGAAAGCTACAGCAAAGTTGATACTGTGAGATTTCAAAACGTTTAAAACTATGACTAGAGAGAGACTGTCAACGAGTACAGCAAAGAGATGCTGTTTTTATGAGTGAGTTCATGTTTAAGTTCTTACTCAGCACTGTCAACACTTTGTATTCAACACTTTTATAAGCCATAAAATGCACATTATTCATATTTCCACTCAGTGCTACAACAAGCACTGCAGCAGTAATTAATGAGAAGGAAAGTTTATCTATAGGCTTGCGTTGTTGTTATTATTAGCGGCTTGTTTTTTAAAATATATCGAGGAATATTTCACTTTCTCTGTTCGTAGGGGTAACAACATGAATTTGTGCATGATGCAGAAATAACGCGGTGCGACTCGAGTTTCACCATCATCTGGAAGACGGTGTCCCTTTTTGGTCAGTGTCAGTGGAGGAAAGGAAGAGCGGAGGGATGTTGAGAAGCGGACCCTCAGTCTGCTGCTCTCTCCCTCCGCTGAGACTGACCATCACCATCAGCCCAGTAAAATAAAAATAGAAAGCTAATTATTTAAATGTATGCTCTCAGCTGTGCTTCACAAGTAATACAACAACATATCTATTACCAGTGTGATCATATAGCCTACCTCAAACTTTGATTTTTTTTTTTTTTTAAATGACCCGTACAACACTGCATTAGTTGGCAGGGCAATTGATAATGTATTGGGCCTATAGCTTACTTCACAAACCTCATTGCTACAGTACTGTTTTTGAATGGTTAATGTTGCATAGGCTTACATTTTTTAAGTCATGTTAAAAACAGATCTGAGCAGTAGATCTCGGCTTGCATGTTGACTCAAAGTGATCTTGACTCAGAATAGGTTGGTGACCACTGTTCTCAAGTTTTCCCTGTTAACACTATCAATGTTTCCCTTTACGGTGGCAATTGTGATCGAATCAATACAATATTAGTCACTTTCAATGCAACATACTGAAACAAAACGATCTATGCCAAATATTTTGTTGTAGGCAGAACGCATCGGAGTAGGATTCTATTGCATTGACACGCACTACTCAGCCCGTACTATACACAGACCGGTGTGGCCATTTACTTTGAACTGGACTGTGTTTACAGCATGAGCGGTCGTGAGTAGATGCGCTTGTTTTGAGATCAAAGCGAGAGCTGCATGTAGCCACGTGTGCACATTTAGTTCATATCCTTTGCTAGTTAGTGAGCTATTAGCCCAGTTATAGATCATTTGTAGTCAGCAATAGGGGAGTGATTGCTTCCTACAAGAGCACAAAACGTGTACAGTGGGGAAAATAAGTATTTAGTCAGCCACCAATTGTGCAAGTTCTCCCACTTAAAAAGATGAGAGAGGCCTGTAATTTTCATCATAGGTACACGTCAACTATGACAGACAAAATTAGGAAAGAAAATCCAGAAAATCACATTGTAGGATTTTTAATGAATTTATTTGCAAATTATGGTGGAAAATAAGTATTTGGTCAATAACAAAAGTTTCTCAATACTTTGTTATATACCCTTTGTTGGCAATGACACAGGTCAAACGGTTTCTGTAAGTCTTCACAAGGTTTTCACACACTGTTGCTGGTATTTTGGCCCATTCCTCCATGCAGATCTCCTCTAGAGCAGTGATGTTTTGGGGCTGTCGCTGGGCAACACGGACTTTCAACTCCCTCCAAATATTTTCTATGGGGTTGAGATCTGGAGACTGGCTAGGCCACTCCAGGACCTTGAAATGCTTATTACGAAGCCACTCCTTCGTTGCCCGGGCGGTGTGTTTGGGATCATTGTCATGCTGAAAGACCCAGCCACGTTTCATCTTCAATGCCCTTGCTGATGGAAGGAGGTTTTCACTCAAAATCTCACGATACATGGCCCCATTCATTCTTTCCTTTACACGGATCAGTCGTCCTGGTCCCTTTGCAGAAAAACAGCCCCAAAGCATGATGTTTCCACCCCCATGCTTCACAGTAGGTATGGTGTTCTTTGGATGCAACTCAGCATTCTTTGTCCTCCAAACACGACGAGTTGAGTTTTTACCAAAAAGTTATATTTTGGTTTCATCTGACCATATGACATTCTCCCAATCCTCTTCTGGATCATCCAAATGCACTCTAGCAAACTTCAGACGGGCCTGGACATGTACTGGCTTAAGCAGGGGGACACGTCTGGCACTGCAAGATTTGAGTCCCTAGCGGCGTAGTGTGTTACTGATGGTAGGCTTTGTTACTTTGGTCCCAGCTCTCTGCAGGTCATTCACTAGGTCCCCCCGTGTGGTTCTGGGATTTTTGCTCACCGTTCTTGTGATCATTTTGACCCCACGGGGTGAGATCTTGCGTGGAGCCCCAGATCGAGGGAGATTATCAGTGGTCTTGTATGTCTTCCATTTCCTAATAATTGCTCCCACAGTTGATTTCTTCAAACCAAGCTGCTTACCTATTGCAGATTCAGTCTTCCCAGCCTGGTGCAGGTCTACAATTTTGTTTCTGGTGTCCTTTGACAGCTCTTTGGTCTTTTATACTGATAACAAGTTCAAACAGGTGCCATTAATACAGGTAATGAGTGGAGGACAGAGGAGCCTCTTAAAGAAGAAGTTACAGGTCTGTGAGAGCCAGAAATCTTGCTTGTTTGTAGGTGACCAAATACTTATTTTCCACCATAATTTGCAAATAAATTCATTAAAAATCCTAGAATGTGATTTTCTGGAGAAAAAAAAATCTCAATTTGTCTGTCATAATTGACGTGTACCTATGATGAAAATTACAGGCCTCTCTCATCTTTTTAAGTGGGAGAACTTGCACAATTGGTGGCTGACTAAATACTTTTTTTTCCCACTGTACATTTCTAGACATCTTTGAAAAGCGAGTCAGGTAAAGAGCTTTTTTTTGTCTTAAAGGGTCAGTGTTATATTTTGAGACAGGCTTGAGTAAGCTAAGTAGCCAATAGGCAGAGGGTTGCATAATGTGTCTGATTCTCTGTAATAATGGTATGGGAATAATAATGCATTTTATTTTGTAACGTGGTTTCTTGCTTCAAAAACACAACAACATTTTCAGTCACCTCCTTGTCTGACGGACAAGTGGATGAACAGGTTAATGTCAAGCCATGCAGGTTTTTTTCAAAAGTCTCATGCAATGTAGGCTATTGAACACCACACATTGGCTGCTACTGTAGGCTGAATGATAAAACAGCTATTTCCATGTTAAAATATTATGGGATGTATTTTCTCCATTGTTTTTGATGGTAGGCCACTTTGGCAGGCCTACATTATGATCAAATAGCCACAGTAGCCTACATGGCCACTGTTAAAACTGTAACTTAAAGCGGGTACAGCCTCAGTGTTCGCAGTAAACGCGCGCTGGAAGTTGCATAGAATTTTCACAATGTTCAAGTTTGCGCTCAGCAGACCTGAAATTTTCTCAGTGCTGGAAATAATTAGAGGGGGCATTGGTCACAGTTACTGAATCTATTAGTGAAACCACCTGTAGCTTGTAACACAAACATCCGCTCAGTGACAGTGCCTGGTGGTGGTGGTACAGTACTATCTATAGGGCAGCTGAAATGTTGCTGCTGCTATTTTTGCACAGCGTACTACAGTACGGTGCATTACATGCCAACTGGCTTTCTACGCAGCTATCGCTTCAGAGGCAGGCTGGGTTGAACTAGGAGATGTGTTACAGAAAGAGAGTACTGTTTACATTCACTCTATCTCAGTCAGTCTATCTCTAATAGGCGGATACTGTGGAGTCTGCATTGTAATCAAAGAGTGTCACAGAGTGTTGTTACAAAGTGTTTGGAACAGATTGTATCAGGTGCAGTAGTGTAGTATACACTACAAGTATAGATAGAAAGGTTTTCAAGAGTTACGTCAATAATGAGGTGGACTTTGTCCCGGATGTCGGGTCATTAGCTGCACACACACACACATACACTCTAAGAGACATGGGTACAGTAAGGGTTTTGTCAGGAACTAGGTAGCAGGTTGGTTGTAACATTTCAGGTTAAACTATTGTAGAAAACCTTGTGGAATTATTGACATCTCTTTGCAACAGAGTTTCACCCTGTCGGAGCAACAATGACGTCACATGCGAAGCTGAGAAAAGAGAGAGTTGGTGTTGTTGACTATGACACACAAATCAAAGGTAAGGGAAATCCTTGTTATTGTTTTTACCCTCTAACGTTACTCTACTGTACAGCTCATCTTTCATGTTCCCCTTCTGGTTGGTAAAACATAGTTCTAGTTTCATGCATGTCTATTAGTCACAGACTGAGTCCATATTAAATAATAATAATAATAATAATATGCCATTTAGCAGACGCTTTTATCCAAAGCGACTTACAGTCATATGCTTGTTGACTGTAAACACAGTGGACCCAATGGTACAACACAACAGTCACCTTCAGCATTTGGTTCAAGGTCTACATGTACAGGACATAGGGAACTCATTCCCTATTCAAAGTCAGTAAACAAAATGGAGGATACCTCTTTATAATTTCTACTCCCTATTTTTTCTTTCGAAGGACGATGGGAGGTAGGCTTGCGGTTAGGGTAGGTGGGAGGGGGAGGGGGGAGGGAGTGAGGGTAGGTCAGGGTGCGTGTAGGGCGGAGGAGAGCGCTCGGCCGGATCTCTCTCGCTCTCTCTCTCTCTCTCTCTTCTCTCTCTATATCTCATCGCTCTCTCTCTCTCTCTCTCTCTCAGCGCGCGATCTGCGATCGCGAGGTCTCGATCTCTCTCTCTTTCCCTCTCACTCACCTCCCTCCCTCCCCCTCTCCCCTTCCCACCCCAAGAGGTGCGTTGTCAGTTGGTGGACCAGTTGAAGGTGTTGGACCTGCAGTTGGAGCAGAAATCTCAGCAGCTTCAAGACCTGACAGACTACCTGCGTAGACGCAGTGAGATAGAAGGGGAGTATGCACGCTCACTTGACAAATTGTCAGAGAGGTTCACCTCCAAAATCAAAAGGTAAGTTGCTCCAAGCTCTGTCCGTGCTATGTCTGTTAGTCCTATTTCTTTTTTTTTTTTTTTTCACCTTTATTTAACCAGGTAAGCCAGTTGAGAACAAGTTCTCATTTACAACTGCGACCTGGCCAAGATAAAGCAAAGCAGTGCGATAAAAACAACACAGAGTTACATATGGGGTAAAAAACATAAAGTCAAAAATACAACAGAAAATATAAATACAGTGTGTGCAAATGTAGCAAGTTATGGAGGTAAGGCAATAAATAGGCTATAGTGCAAAATAATTACAATAGTATTAACACTGGAATGCTAGATGTGCAAGAGATTATGTGCAAATAGAGATACTGGGGTGCAAAAGAGCAAAATAAATAACAATATAGGGATGAGGTAGTTGGGTGGGCTAATTTCAGATGAGCTGTGTACAGGTGCAGTGATCGGTAAGGTGCTCTGACAACTGATGCTTAAAGTTAGTGAGGGAGATAAGAGTCTCCAGCTTCAGAGATTTTTGCAATTCGTTCCAGTCATTGGCAGCAGAGAACTGGAAGGAATGGCGGCCAAAGGAGGTGTTGGCTTTGGGAATGACCAGTGAGATATACCTGCTGGAGCGCAGACTACGGGTGGGTGCTGCTATGGTGACCAATGAGCTAAGATAAGGCGGGGATTTGCCTAGCAGTGATTTATAGATGGCCTGGAGCCAGTGGGTTTGACGACGAACATGTAGTGAGGACCAGCCAACAAGAGCGTACAGGTCACAGTGGTGGGTAGCGTATGGGGCTTTGGAGACAAAACGGATGGCACTGTGATAGACTACATCCAATTTGCTGAGTAGAGTGTTGGAGGCTATTTTGTAAATGACATCGCCGAAGTCAAGGATCGGTAGGATAGTCAGTTTTACGAGGGCATGTTTGGCAGCATGAGTGAAGGAGGCTTTGTTGCGAAATAGGAAGCCGATTCTAGATTTAACTTTGGATTGGAGATTCTTTATGTGAGTCTGGAAGGAGAGTTTACAGTCTAACCAGACACCTAGGTATTTGTAGTTGTCCACATACTCTAGGTCAGACCCGTCAAGAGTGGTGATTCTAGTCGGGTGGGCGGGTGCCAGCAGCGTTCGATTGAAAAGCATGCATTTAGTTTTACTAGTGTTTAAGAGTAGTTGGAGGCTACTGAAGGAGTGTTGTATGGCATTGAAGCTCGTTTGGAGGTTTGTTAACACAGTGTCCAATGAAGGGCCAGATGTATACACAATGGTGTCGTCTGCGTAGAGGTGGATCTGAGAGTCCTATGGTCATTTAGTTGGCAAGACGGCACAAACAGATCTGGGATCAGACTAGAATTGAGATGGTCTTTGTCTGGGATCAGGCTAGAGTTGAGATGGTCTTTGTGTCTCTGAATCCACTCTTATGCCATGCTACCAATTACATGTTTCCCAGACACATATTAAGCCTATTCCAGAACTAAAAAACAGTGTTTTTTAATTTCCCATTCTAGTATTTTCCATTCTAGTATTTTCCATTTGTGTAACTCTATGGTAACCATGTCTATGGTTAAACCATGTCCATTCCCTGTGCCTCTATCTTTCAGAAAGGAGCCCTGTAGTGGCCAGTCTGTGGCCCAGTGTTGGCTGGTGCTCTTGGCTCAGACCAGACAGGAGAGCAGAGACCACAGTGGTCTGAGTGAAATCTGTAGGACCACCCTCACCGAGCCCCTCACCCACTGTCTGGAGATCACACAGCGACTGGCCAAGAGGGTACTGCTCTATCTTCATTTGATTTATTCAACCAGGATAGTTAGCTCAGTAACATTTGCACTGTTTTCCAGGGAGTCCTGGGGAGTCCTATTCCTATCTCTAATTTCTAACCTCTCTCTCTCTCTCTCTCTCTCTCTCTCTCTCTCTCTCTCTCTCTCTCTCTCTCTCTCTCTCTCTCTCTCTCTGTCTCTCTCTCTCTGTCTCCATCTCTAATCTGTCTCTATCTCTAATCTCTAATCTTTCTCTCTCTCTATCTCTAATCTGTCTCTATCTCTAATCTGTCTATATCTCTAATCTCTCTCTCTATTGCTAATCTGTCTCTATCTCTAATCTGTCTCTATCTCTCACCTGTCTCTATCTCTAATCTGTCTCTATTTCTCTATCTATAATCTGTCTCTATCTCTAATCTCTCACTATCTCTAATCTCTAATCTCTCTCTATCGCCATCTGTAATCTGTCTCTATCTGTAATCTCTCTCTCTCTCTCTCTCTCTAATCTCTCTCTCTCTCTCTCTCTCTCTCTCTCTCTCTCTATCTCTATCTCTCTCTTTCTCTCTCTCTATATATATATCTCTCTCTCTCTCTCTCTGTCTCTCTCTCTCTCTCTCTCTCTCTCTCTCTCTCGCTCTCTCTCTCTGTCTTCCATCTCTAATCTGTCTCTATCTCTAATCTCTAATCTCTCTCTCTCTCCATCTCTAATCTGTCTCTATCTCCATCTTTGCCTCTGCCTCTGTTTCATTCTCTATTCATCTAACATATTTATTGGTTGATCTCTTTATTTCCAGAGTAAAGATGTCTGTACGCAGTTACAGGATGGTCTACTGAAAGTCACCACAGAGCTACAGACAGTAAGTCCAACATGTGTAGGAAACAGACACCAGTCAACAAACAAAATATGGCATATTTTCTAAAATAGGTCACTGTGAAATGTAAAGTTGTCGTCTTGGTATTTGCATGATATGGCATGTTGATGGATGTTCTATGTGTGTGTGTGTGTGTGTGCGTCAATGTGTGTGTGTGTGTGTGTTTCTCCTGGCTTGCAGGCATGGAGGACCTACTACCAGTACCAGTCAGATTATGTGTCTGCAGAGGGAAAGCTGAAGGAAGCAGAGAAACAGAAACAAGGCGCTTCTAAGAAGATTGAGAAAGTAAAGAACAGCTCACATCTCTAAATGAGTTAAAGTATGGAGATCTGTGTGTCTGTGTGAGTCTGTGTCTGTATGTGTAATGGCTCATTCCTATGTGTTTTTCCAGAGACAGTGTAAAGTGCAGGAGATTCAGCTGAAGTGCACCAAGGCTCGTAACGACTACCTCCTCAACCTAGCTGCAGCCAATGCTTCCATGAACAAGTACTATCTCCAGGACATCTCCTCACTCATAGATGTGAGTGGTGCTTCACAGCTGCTGTCTGTCTGGCGCCAATAGGGAAGACATTGGATTGTACTGAAAAGTACCAGCCATAAAACACAATGACTACAATACAATGATGCGAACTCAGCGGCCTTGTGTCTGCCCTGAGATTAGAAGGATGGAAGTTCGATCCCCGGCCGAGTCATATCAAAGATTGTAAAAATGGGATCCGAGCCATCTCTGCCTGGCACTAAGCATTAAGGAGATAGATTGGGGGTAAGGCCCTGCCATAGACTAGCGTACTGTCCAAGGGGTGTACTTGTACATCACACTACAGAAACAGGAGATAGGTTCCTGCTTCTATGAGCAGTTCTGGCTCACACAAGCCAAGGTTACTTACAATACTTTACAATACAATGTGCATCCAACATAATATCTACAAGTAGGGTTGGGGTCAAGTCCATTTAATTCAATTCAGGAAGTAAACTGAAATACGCCATGAAAGTGACGCGGCAAGTAGTTTTGAACTTTTGTAGGCTTTTTGAATGGCCTTTAATGGGCAAAAATGTAACGCAATGCTCTTCAGTGCAAACATGTCATAAAAGGTATCTGGCAGAAGTAAATGAATCCACAAACACAAATATAATTGTATATTTATCTTATATGACCGCGTTTTCATGATATAATCTTGAAGTCCATTCAAAAGACCATGGACATTAATATGATGTAGGAACGCTTCACTTGCATGGCGTATTCCAATTCCTATTTTTCAGTTTACTTCCTGAATTGACTGTATTGAAATGGATTTGACCCCAACCCTGCCTACAACATTAACACATAGGCTTATCCCAGTGTCATCTCTCTGTGTCTCTCTAAGTGTTCAGATGTGGGCTACCACCTGTCTCTGTCGCGTGTGCTGTTGGCCTACCTGTCCAGCCGGTCCTGGTGTCAGCAGAACCTGAGTGGAGGGCTCCAGCAGCTCCAAAGTGCTGTGTCTGGACTGGACCAGAGTCAGGACAGAGACAACCTGCTACAGACACACACCAACACCTTCTGTCTGCCCCTCCGCTTCCACTACCAGCCACACGACGGAGACCAGGTAGGGTGTGTGGGTGGGGGGCTGTCGGTTGATGGGTTGTGTGTGTGCTTTTATGTTTGAGAATGTGAGAGTGTGTGGGCTGTGTATCTTGATGTCATGTGTCTTTGCTCCGACCTGTCTGATATCACCTGATTCTTCCCTGTCCCTGTTCCTCTCAGGTGTGTGAGGTGAGTACAGAGCAGGAGATTAGGGGTGAGATGGAGACCAGGTTCCAACAGCTACAATCTAAACTCACCGTGTTCACCCAGGAAACGGAGGAGGTAAAGTCCAGTCCACCCAATCAATCAATCAAATGTATAAAGCCTATTTTTAATCAACAGTTGACATAAAATGCTTTACAGTAACCGAGCCTTGACCCCCTCAAAAGCTTAAAATCGATCTTGTAGTGGATAAGATGGATTCCATCATATTCACTACACACTCTCTCCCTCCTAGGCAGATAAGACTCTGCGGGCGGCCCGCTCTGCCCTGCTGGAAGGTATCAGTGATGATGACCTAGATCCTCCACCCTCCAACAGCCAGACCCAGGGCTCCCTGCTCCATCCCCAGTCCCCGTCTCAGAGCCAAGGTCAGGGGGGAAGTAATGAGAGCCTGTCCAGCAGCAGTAACAGACCCAGTCTGGCCAGACGCAGAGCCAACCTGCAGGAGACTGAGATCCTCTACTGTACTGTGAGTCATTATTACACTGACCTACACATAAGGGTCAGGCCAAAAGTAGTGCACTATAATAATGGGGGTTATGGTAATGATGAAAATGAAATACAAGGAGATGATGGTGGTGGTGATGATGACAAAGACAATGACGATGATAATGATGATGATGCCAATTTTGAATTGTGTTTGATTCTTCTCTCAGAAAGTGAAGGAGTATCTCTGTAAAAGCTCTCTGGTATCCAAACTACAGGCGAAACATGATCTGCTTAAAGTGGCTGTAGAGAAAGGTACAGCACTAACCACTGCTACAATACGAGAGCTTGAGACTATAAGGTTCTATCTGCATTTTAGTCAAAATGTAGTTATTGACATAGCCTTGTTCTGCTCAATGTTCTCTACTGATATAGTACTCTAAATACCCCAATGTATGTTGTCAATTTCAAAAGAATACAATATAAAAATTGCTGACACCATTTAAACCAATGAGGGTTCGGAACTTGTAATAGCAATTATCTCAGAATAAAAAAAATTCAGTTAGGACCGTATAGTCCCGAACTCTCAAATACACACAAAACTGTTCGACATGACTTTGTAGTAAAGCCCCATATACAGTACACTCATTGTTGTTCCCAAATTGCCCAAGTGTCATTTTGGCTCTTAATTTCATATAATACAGGTGTTACAGCTATCCTAATTGTTGCTTTTTCTTCTCTTCCTAGCTGAAGCAACAAATGGTCATCCACCCAGGTAAAGTTACATTCCTCTTTAAGGCCTTTATAACAACCTCATAAGAGTAACATAACAGCTTAGTGCCACTGTCTTATACTTAACTGACTAGTGGTGTCTCCTCCCCCCTGTAGAGAAAACTCCAGGAAGTCTGTTCGTGTTAGGATGAAGGGTCAACCTAGCGTCCAGTTCACCCACAAACTCTTCACTGGAGACATGCTCTCGTTCATACAGGTACCAGCCTACTGTTGCTGTCTGTCTACATCTCATTCTCCTCCTTAGTATCCTGATTTCAATAAACGTCTCCCTATATTCTCAGGCATCGGGGCAAGAGATCCCAGTGGTTGTGGAAAGCTGCATTCGCTTCATCAACCTCAATGGTGAGCCATTATTGTGCATGTTTGGTGCATATTGATACTGTATATTACAAACAGTTAATGTACTGTAGCGTGTATCTATGAAAGTCTTTATGTCTGTCTGTCAATCAATCCTATACTGTAGGTCTCCACCATGAGGGTATCTTCAGAGTACCAGGGTCTCAGGCCGAGGTCAACAGTCTGAGAGATGCATTTGAGAGAGGTAGGGTCTGCTGTTTATTGGGATAAATCTTGTCCTGGAGGCAGCTCTGCGGGGTGGTCACTAGGTGGCCTAGCCACAAAGTAATTTTTTTAAAACCTAACCCTAATCTTAACCACACTGCTAACCTTATGCCTAACCCTAACCTTAAATGTTTGTTTTTATAAGATATAGCCAATTTTGACTTTGCGGCTGGCCCATCTAGCAGAAACCGCTCAGTGCTGCCTCCAGGACAATATTCATCCCAATAAACATCAACCTGCTCCTTGCCTGCTGCTCTAGCTGCATCTAGTACAAACCTGGGTTCAAAGTATCTGTTTCAAATACTTTGTCTTTACTGGACTGAGCTGGCCTGGTGCAATGTAACCAATGGTATAGTCCCAAAACTGCAAGCCCAGCCAGGCTCAATTGAACAGTCAGAGTATTTAGAAAGAAAGTTAATATTATTTGAACCTAGGTCTGGTGTCTATGGAAGCCGTAGTCCAGTGCTGTAGTGTTGATCATTAATAATGGTGGGCAATGTGCCCTTGGTGTACCCTGTAGGAGAGGACCCCCTGGCAGAGAGCAGGTGTGACATAGACTTAGTAGCAGGAGTACTGAAGCTCTACTTCAGAACCCTGGAGAACCCTCTCTTTCCTCAGGACAGCACCACTCAACTCCTGGAGTACGCACGTAAGTGTGTGGGTGTGTGAGTGGGGGTTGTGTGTGTGTGTGCGTGTGTATGTGTGCATTGGGTAGGTTTTTCATATGCTTTCTCCTTGTTGCCCCCAACCCTTCCAGAGATTGACAACGAGACAGAGAGAGCAGCTAAACTCAAATCAGTCATCTCCTCCTATCCTCCACCTGTCATCATCGTCATGAGATACCTCTTTGCATTCCTCCATCAGTAAGTGTCTTTGTTCTGTTTCTAAAACATTTCCCACAAACACACACTTGTTTGAGATTTGTCCATGTCATTGTCAAGGGGAACTAACCATAAACTTACCAGACTCACCACAAAGCCCTTACAAATGCCAGCATTACAAAGAAAGCCCTCTGTTAAAAGAAGAGGAAGAGGAAGGAACCTCAGAGAGAACCAGACATTTGATTAGATAGCTCTTTTCTAAAACACACTTAGGGTGTGTCCCAAATGGCACCCTATTCCCTATATAGGCTCTGGTCAAAAGTTGTGCACTACACTCTTATTAAAAAAAAGGGTTCCAAAAGGGTTCTTTGGCTGTCCCCATAGGAGAACCCTTTTTGGTTCCAGGTTGAACTCTTTTGTGTTCCATGTAGAACCCTCTGTGGAAAGGGTTTTTCATGGAACCCAAAAGGGTTCTACCCGGAACCAAAAGGTTTCTACCTGGAACCAAAAAGGGTTCTTCAAAGGGTTAGGGAGCCATTTGGTTCAACTGTGACATTTCAGCTGTCTTATTCTGTTATTCTTATTCTTCTTGCCCTCTTCTCTCTCTTTCCCCTCCTCCTTCCTCTCTCTTTCTCTCTCTCTCACTCTCTCCCTCCCCTCACTCCCCCCTCTCTCTCTATCTATCTCTCTGTCCCTCTCTCTCTCTTTTTCCCTCTCCCACTCCCACTCTCTCTCTCTACCTCCCTCTATCTCTCCCCCAGTGTCTCCCAGTACAGCGATGAGAACATGATGCAGCCCTATAACTTGGCCGTGTGCTTCGGCCCCAGTCTGGTCCAAGGGTTGCAGGATGATGATGTCGTTACCCTGCAGCCTCAGATCAACTCTCTGGTGAAGGGCATCATCTTGCAGCACGAGAGCATCTTCCCCAGCTTGACCGAGCTACAGGGACCGGTGTATGAGAAATGCATGACGCTGGAGCAAGACGATTGGTGACAGAAAACACACAGATAAATGGACAGCGACCTAGACAAACACACACGCAAGTACATACTCATGCACACACACACACACTTGATGGTGATCGTCTGTGTTTATTTTGCAGTGAGGAGGGAGAAGGGGATTCAGAACTCCACAGTAAAGAAGGTGAGAAGGGGCTGGCTGCTAACTTCATGTGTGTTTGAGAATCAATCATTTGACACAGGGATATTGTTTTTCCATCTATGCTTTATGAGAAACATTCACAGAACTCTTGATTGATGTGCATTGTCCCAGTCAAATAAATGTAATAACTCTTTGTGATCCAGAGTCAGAGTCAAAGGGAGAGCGATCTCGATCCAATAGCAGCTGCAGTTCCAGACAATCCCCAGCAGGGGGAAGTCTGTCCCTTGGAGCAAAGTTCACCATACAGTTCCCCATGGCTCTACAGGGCAGGTCTCGCTCCCCCGGCTACATACGCAAAGAGTAAGTACTGTCGTATAATCAAACTTGTCTGTACGTGAGTAAAATAACTACTAACGGTGTATCTTTATGAAGGCACATTTATTGCTAACTTCACGTTGCTTCACATTACAAGCCATATGAGAGAGAGAGAGATGCTTTCCTCATGAACTCCTACATTCCCACAGGCCCTCATTAGCATATGGCCAATCAGGATGCAATAGGCAAATAACACCACAAGTACCATAAAAGATACTTCACCTATTACTGTGGTACCTGTACCACTGAGACTTTAAATCAGTGCCGTTTAAGATGAGGGAGGACACTTTTTTTTTTCATGAGCATGGCCTTTTTTCTATTACAGCATATTGGATGACTGTTATTCAAATTCCATTCACACAGTTCAATGTAACAGTGATAGGTTTAGGCTACTACATGATACTCGAATTCTCCCTATATCCATCATGAGGCTGGTACAATCTAGCCTATGAATGAAAGTTTACAACGTAGGTGCACACGTCGAGAGAACAATTTGAGGTGACAGACATTGACACATTCAATACCGCCTTGCACACTCTTGCCTGCATCTAGCTGATATAGGGTGTAATCATTAGTCCAACAGTTGCAAACGAGAGTTTCTATTGGACAAATTCAGGTATGTTTATCCCCATTTTGTTCCGTTTGTTTCCGTTTAAAAAAAGTTTTTCAACAGAATCGGTGGAATGAATACACCCCTGATCACACGTAAACACAGTTCACTTTCATAGCAGCCATGTTGTATTCCTTCTCACATCTATGTGCTCTCCTCCTCTCACCTTTTCCCTTCGCTTGTGGTCTTCATTGCACAATACATCAGCTGTATGTGATCAGGCGAAAAAACCTTTCCAAGCCAAACCATATCATAACCGCTACACACAGCCTACATCGTTGTCACCAAATTAGCTAAAGTAACATCATAGTCAACATAGCTAATAGGACTAACACGTTAGTAAACCCGCTGCAATCATGCAGTAACGTTACAGTGTACAGTCAGTAAGCAGTTTAGCACTTACAACGGCGGTCCCCAGAGGAAATAAATTAGTAAAACAAAAAGCTTACCTTGACTTCAAAGAGTTCCAGTGTTGTGTTGGATAGTCATAGCCAGCTAGCTAACATAGCATCCCTCTGTTTGAGCAGGGTGTTTGAGTAGGCTAGACTAGCTAGCTGCATTTTCTAGTAAGTGAAACTGAAAGTGAAAAAAGAGGACAAAATCTCTCTCTCTTGCTTCTCCTTCATTTTGGAAGAAATTAATTGGTTCAACTATTGTCTTTCTCTCTCTTTGAGTCAACTCCTCACCACATTTTATGCACTGCAGTGCTAGCTAGCTGTAGCTTATGCTTTCAGTAATATATTCATTCTCTGATCCTTTGATTGGGTGGACAACATGTCAGTTCATGCTGCAAGAGCTCTGATAGGTTAGAGGATGTCCTCCGGAAGTTGTCATAGTTAGGGCTGTGGCGGTCATGAGATTTTGTCAGCTGGTGATTGTCAAGCAAGTAACTGTCGGTCTCACGGTAATTGACCGTTCATTAACATAAACACATTTAACATCTCCTGGTTTCCACACATAGCCTACAAGCCACTGATGCAGACCTTTGGAACATCTACATTTAAAAAAGTATAATAAATCCCATGTAATATAGCCTACACCGTCACAATAAATCCAATATTTATTTTAGACAGGTCTAAAGAAGCATGATATGAAGAAAATGTAGTCTATTTCAGAAGAACAGTATAGCATACTCTGAGTTGGCCTAGTCATAATTACTGTGTAGGTCTATGGAAGGGGGTGAGAACCATGAGCCTCCAAGGTTTTGTATTGAAGTCAATGTACCCAGAGGAGGACGGAAGCTAGTTGTCCTCCGGCTACACCATGGTGCTACCCTACAGAGTGCTGTTGAGGCTACTGTAGACCTTCATTGCAAAATAGTGTATTTTAATCAATTATTTGGTGACGTGATTATATTTAGTATAGTTTTATCTAAAAACGATAACTGTTTAAATGTTTAAAATTGTAATGAAATTCACTGAGGATGGTCCTCCCCTTCCTCCTCCTAGGAGCATCAACTACTGTAGCCGTAACTTTGGTAGTAACATGTGTACCATCTACTCTGCTATTCACAGGGTATATTGACTTTTTATTGTTGTAGTTTTAGCACTCATTGTCATAAGTTGTAGTGACCTAAATAAGCTTAAGCGGTGGACCTGAAATATCTCTCTCTCTCCCCCCTCTCTCTCTCTCTCTTTCTCTCTTTCTGTTTTTCACAGAGCCCAGGACCTGTCATCCAGTGACGATATAACAGTTCAGGTTGACAAGGTCTGACATGTTTTTCATTAAGCTAATATTTAATAATTTATTTCTGTAATTACCGGCAGCAGCTGTAGCAATTACTGTTGTCATTTCTGAACTCACTAAGCGTACATAATAAGAGGTTTGCGACCACGCTAGAGGGAATCCACTCCGGTCCAGTGAAAAAAACCATCTCTGTCCTCTTTTTTTCTCTTTTGTCCCCCTCCTCTCTCCTCCCTCATTCCCTCTTTTCATCTCACAGGAGGTCTGCCACCAGATGAGAGCAGTCTTCAAGGAGCTTCTCTCTCGACAATCGTTCCCTCCTCCTTCCTCCTCCACCCCCTTGGTCACCTCATCCCGCTCTTCCTATCTTCCTCCACAGCAGAAGAAAGGAGGGGTCGGGCGCAGAAATGAAAGACCTGTTTAGATCAGACCAACTGGACTGGTAGAAAGAAAGAGGGGACCGGAATAAATGAATGGCTAGATGGATGAATAAATGAATGAGAGGGAATGAAAGGAAGGAGAGAGACAAAAGACTTAGACGAGATGACACAGTATAGGATGACAGGTTGTGACAGCAGCCTTTGACAGTGGGATTACAGATAGCTGGGTTACATGAACCGTTGTCAGTTCACTGTTCAGTATGCGTCTGCTCAGACAGCAGCCTGCAATGTGAAGCCTGTGAATGGACAGTCACAGACAAACAGGGTTTGACTTCTACTGTGAAGCCTTTTGTTAGTGTGTTTGATACAACACACCCCAATGACCCCCACTCTTATTTTCACTGTAGGGCTGTGTCCCCATTCTCCACACTTTTCCCAAAGTGTGCACTTGCACACTCCCCGCCATGGATTTGAAAAGCATTGGATTATCAGCAGAAAGGGGAATCTTGCTATTGCAAGTGGACAGACAGATTTTGATTCCCACTGTGAAGCCTTTTTTTGTTAGCCTGATCCCAGATCAGTATCTGGGATCAGGCTGTGTTTGATAGAACACACTCCAGTGACCCCAGTGACACACTCCAGTGATCCCAGTGACACACTCCAGTGACCCCAGTGACACACTCCAGTGACCCCAGTGACACACTCCAGTGACCCCAGTGACTTTCACTGTATGCCAATGCTACATAATCAATGGCAGCTTTTGAGTTGATATATCATAACTTATTTTACCCACAATGACTTGGAATGTGCACTGCTGGAACTTCATGAATGGAGAACATGCTACTCTTATATGATCAGTGCTGTTTGTATTCTATGCTCTTATGGTTATGGGCCTATGGAGGCCCTCTATGCCCAATGTGAACACCAAGACAAGTGCTCACTATCTGATTTGGTCAGTTCACCAAAGGTTCATGTTTTGGTAGGCCTATAATTATGGACATTCAAAGGCCATATGGTCTTTATCATAGAGATCCTATAAGATATATGTTCTATCCCCTTTATCAGATGAAAGTTCAATTTTAACCTGGACCAGCTCCTGTCTGAGATTGAGTCACTGAGCTACTGATAACGATGAACTGTGAATTCTAATTCTGATTAGTTTCATTCTTTCAGAGATAAAAGCTTTCTATGTTCGCTTGCTATTTTTATATAGTTTTCTGGATCTGATGATTGTTTGAATAAATGTTTATGTTGAATTTGTTCAGAATTTCCCATGTTACTGTAGGTCTGTACTTCACATTTTACCGGATACAGAGAAGACATTTGCAGTTAGACTTTTGCTCACTAGATGGCAACACCAACTCACAGAGGGGATGCAGTACGTGTGTGTGAGTAATGTATGTTCTGGATGGAGACCACTAATGGGACGTGGCTGATGTGCAACAGATATTTCATTTCTGAATTGGGTAAAATTAGGTTAGGGTTAGGGTTTGGGTTAAGGTTAGGGAAGATTTTTTAGTTTTGGGCTAGTCAGGCTGTCAATGAGATGCTGGACAGAAAAGTCAGCTTTAGTCTCTCCTGTTCTTGAAATGTCCTGCACTGTCTTCAGTACACTGTGCTCCAACACCATATGCATCCCATTATTAGCTGTTTGACAAGGAGAAATTACATAATGTAATCACTGTGACTCTTACAATGTAATGATCTGTGTTTGGGATTAGGAAACGGCACAGGCTTGAAACACTTTGAGCCACAGAAAAAGTGTGAAACGTTGCAGGAAGTCTTCGTCAAGACGAGGCATGGAGCAAACCTCCAGAATACTATCTAGCTAGCTAATCGTTCAGGATGCACACACACACACACACACACACACACACAAACACACACACACACACACACACACACACACACACACACACACAGAGGATACATTGATAAATATACATGCCCAATCCTACATTTATCCCTACCCCTATTTGCCCCTACACTTGTGGCACTATAACTGGGCGGCAGATAGCCTGGCTGGTAGCAGCATTGGGCCAGTAACTGACAAAGTAAAAATCTGTCGTCCTGAGCAAGGCAGTTAACCCCCAACAACTGCTCCCTGGGTGCTGATGATGTGGTTGTCAATTAAGGCAGCCGTTGTCAATTAAGGCAGCCCCCTGCAGCTCTCTGATTCAGAGGGGTTGGGTTAAATGCAGAAGACAATTGACTAGGTATCCCCATTTCCCTAAATGTACTGAATAAGACTCACATTCATTTTACCCAGATTTTAGAAGAGATGCAGAGAAGCATATTTAGTTTCTTTAAAAAAAGAACCACCAGTCAGGAGGATACAGATAACTCAAGAGGTTATGCAAGAAAAACATTTTTTTTTACTTTTTTTTTTTTTACATAGAATAAGCATAATGATTATGGCTCTAGATTGCAGGAAAAATCTGGTTCTAGTGAAAAATGTGAAATTTTCCAACTCCGGACCACCCCCCCAGCCATCCTCACGTACTTTGTGCCCCCTCAGATTTTTGGGGTGCATGACGCCCCTGATCATTGTCACGAAGCCACACCTGCCCCACTCGGGTTGGAAGGTCAGAACGAGAAAGTGTAAGCTACATAGAAATAATTATGCTCAAAATGAAAAATCATTAAACTAAATAATGAGGATTGCTATCATCCTAATCGAACAGTAGATTACATCTCACATTCCAGTGTTCAAACTTGTATAGAAGGCTGCATAGGATTTCTCTTGTGCAGCCAATGGTAATGTCCACTTTAGGTACAGTGGGGAAAAAAAGTATTTAGTCAGCCACCAATTGTGCAAGTTCTCCCACTTAAAAAGATGAGAGAGGCCTGTAATTTTCATCATAGGTACACGTCAACTATGACAGACAAATTGAGGGAAAAAAATCCAGAAAATCACATTGTAGGATTTTTAATGAACGTATTTGCAAATTATGGTGGAAAATAAGTATTTGGTCACCTACAAAAAAGATATCTGGCTCTCACAGACCTGTAACTTCTTCTTTAAGGGGCTCATCTGTCCTCCACTCGTTACCTGTATTAATGGCACCTGTTTGAACTTGTTATCAGTATAAAAGACACCTGTCCACAACCTCAAACAGTCACACTCCAAACTCCACTATGGCCAAGACCAAAGAGCTGTCAAAGGACACCAGAAACAAAATTGTAGACCTGCACCAGGCTGGGAAGACTGAATCTGCAATAGGTAAGCAGCTTGATTTGAAGAAATCAACTGTGGGAGCAATTATTAGGAAATGGAAGACATACAAGACCACTCATAATCTCCCTCGATCTGGGGCTCCACGCAAGATCTCACCCCGTGGGGTCAAAATGATCACAAGAACGGTGAGCAAAAATCCCAGAACCACACGGGGGGACCTAGTGAATGACCTGCAGAGAGCTGGGACCAAAGTAACAAAGCCTACCATCAGTAACACACTACGCCGCCAGGGACTCAAATCCTGCAGTGCCAGACGTGTCCCCCTGCTTAAGCCAGTACATGTCCAGGCCCGTCTGAAGTTTGCTAAAGTGCATTTGGATGATCCAGAAGAGGATTGGGAGAATGTCATATGGTCAGATGAAACCAAAATAGAACTTTTTGGTAAAAACTCAACTCGTCGTGTTTGGAGGACAAAGAATGCTGAGTTGCATCCAAAGAACACCATACCTACTGTGAAGCATGGGGGTGGAAACATCATGCTTTGGGGCTGTTTTTCTGCAAAGGGACCAGGACGACTGATCCGTGTAAAGGAAAGAATGAATGGGAGATGTATCGTGAGATTTTGAGTGAAAACCTCCATCAGCAAGGGCATTGAAGATGAAACGTGGCTGGGTCTTTCAACATGACAATGATCCCAAACACACCGCCCGGGCAAAGAAGGAATGGCTTCGTAAGAAGCATTTCAAGGTCCTGGAGTGGCCTAGACAGTCTCCAGATCTCAACCCCATAGAAAATCTTTGGAGGGAGTTGAAAGTCTGTGTTGCCCAGCGACAGCCCCAAAACATCACTGCTCTAGAGGAGATCTTCATGGAGGAATGGGCCAAAATACCAGCAACAGTGTGTGAAAACCTTGTGAAGACTTACAGAAAACGTTTGACCTGTGTCATTGCCAACAAAGGGTATATAACAAAGTATTGAGAAACTTTTGTTATTGACCAAATACTTATTTTCCACCATAATTTGCAAATAAATTCAAAAAAAATCCTACAATGTGATTTTCTGGATTTTTTTTTCTCATTTGTCTGTCATAGTTGACATGTACCTATGATGAAAATTACAGGCCTCTCTCATCTTTTTAAGTGGGAGAACTTGCACAATTGGTGGTTGACTAAATACTTTTTTTCCCCACTGTATAATGTCGAGAGCAACTTTTGGATTTGACTGCTCTAACGCAGTTCCACCTCCGATACCGCCAAAACAACCGCTATGGGGATGTTGGCTAAAGCGGACCTGATTGAATAGAGCACCTTAGTTACAACTATCCAATCCTCTCAGATCTCCATAAGGGTTTAGGACGTAGGGTCTAGGAGACGTCCCAAGGGCATAAGGCATAGGGGTCTACGGGTGGACCCAAGGGCATAGGGTGTAGGGTCTAGGGGTCGAATTGGGATTGGGAAACAAGTAATGGACATCACACACTGCATCAGGGATTACAGATTAAAATTAGCAGGCTTGCTACATCTGGCACATTTACAGAAATGTTGATCAATGTGCATTGTCCCTGTCAAATAAATGTTATAAATGAAATGAAATCATTGTGACCTCTGGCACAATGTACACAGAGATACTGTCCCAGCCATCACAATCACTCCGCCCCTGTGGTTCTTTCGTGCCCTACAGTCCCAGAGGACAGAGACCCCTGTCCAATTCATCATGTCTCCATACACACTCAGATTGCACAATTGATGTACAACACATTCGACACAACGTTTGGGATTCAACAGAGAGTTTTTCTGCACAAAAATAATCACAAAAGCTTTTCCCGAGACACTGCACAATGGTTGCGTAATCATTTTGGCGCAGACAAACTGTCAGTTGTATCACAACCGTTGTTTGAAATGTGCTGTACATCAGTTGTACAACATGAGTATGTACGGGGCCAGACGTACTGTCTAAACAATCACATTCACTCCGCCCCTTTGGTCCTTCTGTCCCATACAGTCAGAATGGACAGAGACCCCTGACCCCTATCCGCTGTTGGTCAATACCCCGACTGTTTGGATTCTGTGGGAAAGTTATGAGCTGTTCCCTGCGATTTATTAATCTGCATAAAGAAATGTGTTTATGGAGCGATTTCATGTAAGAAGATTTATGTAAGGTACGTAGGGAGGGCTGCGCTGGGGAGCGACTGAGGAGCTGGATGAGCGATGTATGGTGTGTGAAGTGTGTCGGGAATTACCCTCCAGTGTGTTTTGGCTCTACCGCCGTCTCCATCACTTATTTGGTCCGCAGAGACCTGAAGTTGGCTTGTACACTCTTTTGCGTTTTCTTTCGTTTGTCGTTTACGATTGATGTTGTGAGTACACCCTCTCCAGGCCAATTTGCTCACTACTCTCTCTCTCCTTCGTTTTAGATTGATGTCTCTGCTCAATACTCTCTCTCACCCCCCTCTGACTGTTCACCCCAACACACATTTCCCCAATGTCTCCTCAGCTCTTAATCTTCTGCATCGTGCTCCCTGCGCTCTTTCCCCCAGTCCCCTCTCTTCCCCCTCTCTCCTCCATCATTCTCTCTCCACCATACCTCCCACGTTGTTTTCCCTAATGCTGGTCAGTGCGCTGAGCTCTTTCTCCTGGTCCCCCAAAATACCAAAATCCCAAGCGCCCCACAGCCCAACCCCAAAACCCTCTAGCCAAGCCGGACCTCCTCCAAGACCAGAAGCGCCCCCAATCGACTCCCCAGACAACTCTCCACCTCTCTCTATATCCCCCATACCTCCCCACCTCTCCCTCATCTCCCCATACCTCCTCCACCTCTCACTCTATCTCCCCCATACCTCCTCCACCTCTCTCCTCTATCTCCCCCATACCTCCTCCACCTCTCTCCTCTATCTCCCCATACTGTCACACCCTGGCTCTGGGGACT